CATTATTATTATATTATTATTACATTTATTATTTTACCCTTTATTATTATTGGAAGGATACGTAAGCACATTTACACTGAAGAAGGTTAGAATAATGGTTTAATCAGAGTTGGGCAGTCTTATCTTAAATTACAGTTTTATGTAAATATTTAATCTACTGATGCCTCAATTAATGTAATTTTATTGGTATCTATTTTTATTTTGAAATTTACCAGTAGATGCTGCATTTCCCATCCTCGGCTTATACTCAAGTCAATATATTTTTCCAGTTTTTTGTGATAACATTAGGTGCCTCGGCTTATATTCAGGTTGGCTTATACTCGAATATATACGGTAAATAAAGCATTGGTTAGAATGCCAGTGTAGCATAATGATTAAATGTTGAACTAGAACTCGATGGGGCTGAGGTTCAAATCCCCGCTTCAACCTTTATCAAACTACAGATCCCAAGAAACATGGTGGATAAAGTGGCATCCAGGGTCCATACTTGTATGCTGATGATCCACCCTTTGTTTTGCCAGCATTGGAACATGGGCAACAGATCTCTGCTTTCAGTTTCTCCAGAATATGCATACTAGCATTCCTTTACTTAGAAACACATTAGATTCTTTTACTAATCTTAAAATTACAGCTTGTCAGCCCAAGTTTTCGTTACTGATTATATAGTATGCAGTTTGGTGTTGATGAAAAACAACCCAGGGGTATATTTTTCATGTGAGCAAAAAAAAACAGAACTGCTACTACATTTGCCTGGTAAAATGGCACCTGAGCCGAACTTTTTTAAAAAAATTGTGATTTCTAGTCTGACCCATCCTGGTCTGAATTTTTTTTTATTTAGCTACACACACACACACATATACACACACTGTGTTGGATGCCTTTGCAAGGTCAATTAATGCCATGGACAGAGGTTGGTTTTGTTCCCTGCATCTAGATTTGTTTATCGTGTCATCAGCAACCAGACATTTGTATTACATTTTTAACAAAAATATAAACAAACAAACAGACAAAACACAGAATTTGCAAGCTTGGTAGTTGATTAAATGTCCTTTGACCAGAAGCTGGCCACTTGGAGTGCCTCTGGTGTTGCCGCAAGGAGGTCCTCCCTTGTGCATGTAGCAGGGCTCAGGTTGCATTGCAGTAGGTGGTCTGTGGTTTGCTCTTCTGCACACTCACATGTCGTGGATTCCACTTTGTAGCCCCATTTCTTAAGGTTGGCTGCATCTCGTGGGGCCAGAGCGCAGTCTGTTCAGCACCTTCCAAGTCACCCAGTCTTCTGTGTGCCCAGGGGGGAGTGTCTCATTTGGTATTCTGGGTTTGAGCCTGCCACTTTTGGACTCTTGCTTGCTGGGGTGTTCCAGCGAGTGTCTCTGTAGATCTAAGAAAACTATTTCTTTATTTAAGTCGTTGACGTGCTGGCTGATACCCAAACAGGGGATGAGCTGGAGATGTCTCTGCCTTGGTCCTTTCACTATTGGCTGCTACTTCCCAGCTGATGTCAGGTGGTGCAATACCGGCTAAGCAGTGTAATTTCTCCAATGGTGTAGAGCACAGACACCCTGTGATAATGCGGCATGTCTCATTAAGAGCCACGTCCACTGTTTTAGTGTGGTGAGATGTGTTCCACACTGGGCATGCATACTCAGCAGCAGAGTAGCACAGTGCAAGGGCAGATGTCTTCACTGTATCTGGTTGTGATCCCCAGGTTGTGCCAGTCAGCTTTCGTATGATATTGTTTCTAGCACCCACTTTTTGCTTGATATTCAGGCAGTGCTTCTTGTAGGTAAGAGCACGGTCCAGTGTGACTCCCAGGTATTTGGGTGCACTCCAATGCTCCAGTGAGATTCCTTCCCAGGTGATCTTCAGAGTTCGGGATGCTTCTCTGTTCTTGAGATGAATGGCACATGTCTGTGTTTTAGATGGATTAGGGATCAGCTGGTTTTCCCTGTAATAGGCAGTAAGAGCACCTAGAGCTTCGGAGAGCTTCTGTTCTACCATCTCAAAGCTCCCTGCTTGAGCAGTAATGGCACGATCATCAGCATAGATGAAGCTCTCTGTCCCTTCTGGCAGTGGCTGGTCATTTGTGTAGATGTTGAACATGGATGGAGCAAGCACGCTCCCCTGAGGCAGGCCGTTCTTCTGTTTCCGCCATCTGCTTCTCTGGCCCTGGAACTCAACAAAAAAGCTCCTGTTTTGTAGCAGGTTTCCTATGAGGCGGGTGAGGTGGTCGTCCTTTGTGATATTATACATCTTTCTCAGGAGGAGGCGGGGGTTCACAGTCTCATAGGCTGCTGACAGGTCTATGAAGACAGCTCTTGTGATCTGCTGCCTTTCAAAGCCATCTTCTATGTGCTGAGTCAGGTTCAACACTGAGTCAGTTTCAACAACAGCATGCGCATTTGATTGACTCTGAGTGCTATCTTTGGGTAAATAAGAGTCTTTAGCAAATGCTTTCAAAAAACCCACTCGTGTCTCTCAGCCCATGGCTGCATATGTGACTGAATTCTCCTTTGGAACTGCCTTCAAACAGATGTGCAGAACCCCCCACAATGTGACACAAGGGTGCTTTTCTGTCGTGTGCCCAGAAGGTAATGTGGTTGTGCCACAAGCTCTGTTGAGGCCCCCTCATTTGATAAAGCAAACCTTCCAGAGAGTGTTTTTCTGGAGGAGTGTTGCTGGTCTGTTGAGAGAGGTCAGGCTTCGGTTCCCTTCAAACAAAGGCTGCAGTGATAAAGGACAGCCGTCCACAATGGCTTCACTAACAAGCTTCTCCCAGGCACAGACTGGGTCAAGCGCTGCTTTGCTTTTCTTCCCTTCCTTCTCAGTTGTGTTCCTTCAGGTTTTCTCTCACCTACAATCTCTGCTTTGAGTAAGGCTCAACATAGCCATGGGGTCACGTATGAAAAATCAGACCGGCCTACAGGTGATCACACAGGGAACCTGTAAACCATCTCCTTTTTAAAAAGCAGATACATTATTAAACAAGCCTTGGGGACCTTGTTTCAAGCCGGGCTTCTGATCCTTTTCAGCTATTGTTGTTCCGCTGCTCTGTTTCAAGTTGTGGACATGGGCTCAATTTCAGCATTGACTGTTGAAATGTGTAAAAAGAAGTGATTTGCTGAGCTCTCCAATTATATCAGTACATTTGTATTTACTGGGTTGTTGTAGGTTTTTCGGGCTATATGGCCATGTTCTAGAACAGTGTTTCTAAGTATTGTCGAAGGCTTTCATGGCTGGAATCACTAGGTTCTTGTGGGTTTTTTCGGGCTATAGAGCCATGTTCTAGAGGCATTTCTCCTGACGTTTCGCCTGCATCTATGGCAAGCATCCTCAGAGGTAGTGAGGATACCTCTGAGGATGCTTGCCATAGATGCAGGCGAAACGTCAGGAGAAATGCCTCTAGAACATGGCTCTATAGCCCGAAAAAACCCACAAGAACCTAGTGTTTCTCAACCTTCCTAATGCCGCAACCCCTTAATACAGTTCCTCATGTTGTGGTGACCCCCAACCATAACATTCTTTTGCTACTTCATAACTATAATTTTGCTCCTGTTATGAAACATAATTTGGGAGTTGTAGTTGTTGGGATTTATGGTTCACCTACAATCAAAGAGTATTCTGAACTCCACCAACGATGGAATTGAACCAAACTTGGCACACAGAATGCCCACGACCAACAGAAAACACTGGAAGGGTTTGGTGGGCATTGACCTTGAGTTTGGGAGTTGTAGTTCACCTACAGAGAGCACTATGGATTCAAACAATGATGGATCTGGACCAAACTCAGTATGCTAAATGTGAACACTGGTGGAGTGTGGGGAAAATAGGCCTTGACCTTTGGGAGTTGTAGTTGCTGGGATTTATAGTTCACCTACAATCAAAAAGCATTCTGAACAATGATAGAATTGGGCCAAACCTTCCACACCGAACCCCCATGAACAACAGAAAATGCTGTGTTTTCTGATGGTCTTTGGTGACCCCTCTGGCACCTCCTGGCAACCCCTCCAGGGGTCCCGACCCCCAGGTTGAGAAGCACTGTTCTAGAAGCATTATCTCCTGACATTTCACCTGCATCTATGGCAAGCATCCTCAGAAGTTGTGACCTCACAACCTCTGAGGATGCTTGCTATAGATGCAGGTGAAACGTCAGGAGAGAATGCTTCTAGAACATGACCGTATAGCCCCAAAAAACCTACAACAACCCAGTGATTCCAACCATGAAAGCCTTCGACAATACATTTGTATTTAATTCTTGAGAGGTCGTTTTCCTAAGATATTGGTTTAACAGCTGAGATAAATATTCTGTACCATCCTATGGTCAATTAGAACAAGATCCTTGCTCATTCACACATGGTTGTTACTAGCCATAGTTCAGAAATATTGAACAACTAGCTGTCCCCTGCCACACGTTGCTGTGGCCCACTCTGGTGGTCATGGGGGTTCTGTGTGGGAGATTTGGCCCAATTCTATCGTCGGTGGGGTTTGGTATGCTCTTTGATTGTAGGTGAACTATAAATCCCAGTAACTACAACTCCCAAATATCAAGGTCTATTTCCCCCAAACTCCAGCTGTATTCATATTTGGGCATTTGGAATATTCAAGCCAAGTTTGGTCCAGATCCATCATTGTTTGAGCCCACAGTGATCTCTGGATGTAGGTGAACTACAACTCTACAACCAAAGAACACTGCCCAACGAAACCTTCTAGTATTTTCTGTTGGTCATGGGAGAACTGTTTGCCAAGTTTGGTTCAGTTCCATCGTTGGTGGGGTTCAGAATGCTCTTTGATTGCAGGTGAACTATAAATCCCAGCAACTACAATTCCCAAATGACAAAATGAAATTTTTTTGAGTGAAGGACATACATTGGGTTGTTAGGTGTCTTGTGTCCAAATGTGGTGTCAATTCATCCAGTGGCTTTTGAGTTCTGTTAATCCCACAAACGAACATTACATTTTTATTTATATAGATGCATAATAACGTGTATATTTGTCTTCTGCAGTTCGTTCCTTCGGTACAGAAGACAGACCAACGGATCGGCCCATACCACCTCGCGATGAAGTATTTGAGTACATTATATTCCGTGGCAGCGATATTAAGGATTTGACTGTTTGTGAACCACCCAAACCACAATGCTCTCTGCCTCAGGACCCGGCTATTGTTCAGGTACAGTCACATAATCAGAAGTCACTGTAGCTTCACTTAGGTGTGTAATGTGGTAAATAGGTTTGTCTAGCCGGGAGCTAGACAGGGGGAGTGTGTCCCTGTTGGTGCTCCTGGACCTCTCAGCGGCCTTCGATACCGTCGACCACGGTATCCTTCTGGGGCGACTTGCGGAAATGGCTCGGGGGCACTGTTCTGCAGTGGCTCCGGTCATTTCTCGAGGGCCGCACCCAGAAGGTGTTACTGGGGGACACCTGTTCAACTCCACAGCCTTTGACTTGTGGGGTTCCACAGGGCTCTATACTGTCCCCCATGCTGTTTAATATCTACATGAAGCCGCTGGGTGAGATCATCCGGAGTTTCGGGGTGCGGTGTCATCTGTACGCAGATGATGTCCAACTCTGTCACTCCTTCCCACCTGCTACTAAGGAGGCTGTCGAGGTCCTGAACCGCTGTAATGGTCTGGATGAGGCGAACAAATTGAAATTAAATCCAGACAAGACAGAGGTACTCCTGGTCAGTCGCAAGGCCGAACAGGGTATAGGGTTACAGCCTGTGCTGGATGGGGTCGCACTCCCCTTGAAGGCGCAGGTTCGCAGCTTGGGTGTGATCCTGGATTCATCGTTGAGCCTGGATCCCCAGGTCTCAGCGGTGACCAGGGGAGCATTTGCACAGCTCAGGCTCGTGCGCCAGCTGCGCCCGTACCTTGGGAAGTCTGACTTGGCCACGGTAGTACACGCTCTGGTCACATCCCGCCTTGACTACTGCAACGCTCTCTACGTGGGGCTGCCCTTGAAGATGGCCCGGAAGCTCCAGCTAGTCCAGCGCGCGGCAGCCATGTTACTAACAGGAGCGGGACGCAGGGAGCACACAACCACCTTGTTGGCCCAGCTCCATTGGCTGCCGATCTGCTACCGAGCCCAATTCAAGGTGTTGGTGTTGGCCTACAAAGCCCTAAACGGTTCCGGCCCAAAATACCTGTCTGACCGCATCTCGGCCTATGAGCCCACGAGGACTTTGAGATCGTCTGGGGAGGCCCTTCTCTCGATCCCGCCTGCCTCACAGGCACGCCTGGCGGGGACGAGGGATAGGGCCTTCTCGGTGGTGGCCCCCCGGCTGTGGAACACCCTCCCTGTAGACATCAGACAAGCGCCCTCCCTTATGACATTCCGCAAGAGACTAAAGACGTGGTTGTTTGAGAAGGCGTTTGACTAAGTGCTACGACAATTGGCAATGATGATTGGAACGGAATATGGAAAACGAGATTGGATTGTGATTCTATGATGAGACGTCGCGAAGGACTTAGTGTAATAGTATTATTGATAGTGATGTTGTTATTGTTGTTTATGAGATTGTTTACATTGTAAATTGTTTTTTATATGTTGTACACCGCCGTGAGTCGCCCTAGGGCTGAGAACGGCGGTCTACAAGTGCAGTAATAAATAAATAAATAAATAAATAAATAAATAGATTTATGCTTGAACATGTACAGTTTCTGTCCAGTGGACAACTCTCCTGGTTCCAAATCTTTGGTTTTCTCAAAGCTTTACACCAAGCTCATGGAGTTCATGTAAGGTGTGTACTTGAGTGGTCTGCAAACCTGGACCTTCCTTAAAACCGATGATTGTTTAGCTTAAGTTATGTTTTTCTCTGCAGTTGTTAGATTGTGTTTAGAAAACATCAGCTAAACTCTGAACATTAAGCACCCTGAGTCCCTTTGGGGAGAGAGAGTGAGGTATAAATAAAGTATTGTTATTATGTGTTGTCGAAGGCCTTCATGGCTGGAATCACTGGGTTGCTGTGAGTTTTCCAGGCTGTCTGGCTATGTTCCAGAAGCATTCTCTCCTAGAATCATAGAGTTGGAAGAGACCTCATGGGCCATCCAGTCCAACCCCCTGCTGAAAAGCAGGAAAATTACATTCAAAGCACCCCCGACAGATGGCCATCCAGCCTCTGTCTAAAAACTTCCAAAGAAGGAGCTTCCACCACACTCTGGGGCAGAGAGTTCCACCGTTGAACGGCTCTCCCAGTCAGGAAGTTCTTCCTCATGTTCAGATGGAATCTCCTTTCCTGCAGTTTGAAGCCATTGTTCCGCTTCCTAGTCTCTAGGGCATCGGTAAACAAGCTTGCTCCCCCCCCTCCCTGTGGCTTCTTCTCACATATTTATACATGGCTATCATGTCTCCTCTTAGCCTTCTCTTCTTCAGGCTAAACATGCCCAGCTCTTTAAGCCGCTCCTCATAGGGCATGTTTTCCAGATCCCTGATCATTTTAGTCTCCCTCCTCTGGACACATTCCAGCTTGTCAATATCTCTCTTGAATTGTTGTGCCCAGAATTGGACACAATATTCCAGGTGTGATCTAACCAAGGCGGAATAGAGGGGTAGCATTACTTCCCTGGATCTAGAAACTATGCTCCTATTGATGTAGGCCAAAATCAATAGGAGCATGGTGTCTAGATCCAGGGAAGTCATGCTACCCCTCTATCCTGACGTGTGCCCGCATCTATGGCAGGCATGCTCAGAGGTTGGGGGGGGGGGTCTGTTGGAAACTAGGCAGGTGGGTTTATATACTTTTAATAATGCCCAGAGTGGGAATAAGAACTCTTGTCTGCTTAAGGCAAGTGTGAATGTTGCAAATGGTCTCCTTGATTAGGACTGAAAGGCCTTGCAACTTCAAAGTCTGGCTGGTTGCTGTCTGGTGACATCCTTTGTTGGGAGGTGTTCGCTGGTGCCGATTGATTCTTTTGTCTGGAATTCCGCTGCTTTTTGCGTATCATTCTTTATTTACTGTCCTGATTTTAGAGTATTTTGAATACTAGGAGCCAGATTTTGTTCATTTTCATGGTTTCCTCCTTTCTATTGAAATTGTCCACATGCTTCGTGTGGATTTCAGTGGCTTCTCTGTGTTGTCTGACATGGTAGTTGTTAGAGCGGTCAGGCCTCACAACCTCTGAGGATGCCTGCCATAGATGTGGGCGAAATATCAGGAGAGAATGCTTCTGGAACATAGCCTGAAACCCCAGAAAACTCACAGCAACTACTACTACTACTGTTTTTAATTGTGTGTTGTCTTATTGATAATGTTGTGTATTTTATTGTTTATTGCTTGTATAGTTGTTATTAATGCTTGTATTGTTGTGTTTGGGCTCGGCCTCATGTAAGCCGCACCGAGTCCCTTGGGGAGATGGTAGCGGGGTACAAATAAAGTGTTGTTATTATTATTATTATTATTATTATTATTATTAATATTGTTATTACTACATTATTATTATTATTATTATTATTATTATTATTATTCTCCCCAACTTCAGACTTTTTCAACATGGATATTTGTAAAATTCAAAAAGAAAGACAATTTCAATGCCTTTAAGCTTACCTTGCTTTCTACAACCTGTGCAGCATTGCTGGAAAACATAAGCACCCAATAAGTCGTGGACATTTGTATTTGATTGAATACTTACGACAGATGGAATATTTAATGATTTTGTGAATTGTGGCCATGTCATCTTGTTTTATTTTTTTGTTTGTCTTTTTTGGTGTGTCAGGAGCGACTTGAGAAACTGCAAGTCACTTCTGGTGTGAGAAGTGATGTTTAATAATGTTTAAATAGAAACATTATTCCATGTGTACAAATCTATATGATACTACATAGTCCGAAATCTGAAAATGTTAATTGTATGTTAGACCACATTACGTGGATATTTAGTGTGTTTCTGCAAGTCCACAGCTGGTTCTGTCTGCCGTTGTTCTGATAAAGAGAGTTTTCAGAGTCTGCTTTGATTACTGACTTGTAATGTGCGGCATAAAGATGTTTCCTTCCTTTTTTTATGTGACTTTTCTCCCGTTCTGATGGCGTCTTTCATGCGTGTGGTTTTCTTCAGTCCTCTCTAGGGTCGTCTTCTACTTCTTCATTCCAGTCTGTGGGATCCTATGGTCCTTTCGGCAGGATGCCAGCCTACAGCCAGTTTAGTCCAAGTCCGTTAGTGGGCCAGCAGTTTGGAGCTGTTGGTGTTGGTATGTTTGCATTTAAACACTTTTTTTTTTGCTCTTGGCAAGCAACTGAAAGAAAAAATTGCAAGTGCATACTATTCCCATGCTGTGAGATATATTATTTGTTCTGAAAATGGAGGTGAACTTATGGAAGAAGCTGGGTCCACATGGAGGCCAGACCTAGCAAGCATCTTGCCTTAATTTCTCCTTTCAAAGCCCTGTTAATCATGAATCAGCGGTGCTCTCATGCACCACGTGGAGTGCAGGATGTTTTTTTTTTTTTTTAGGGGAACGTGGGCAATTCCCTGAAATCCCTTTTGCATGTTTATTTACTTTGGCTGAACTTTAGACTATGAATACTGTGTTTCCACATGAAAGTACAGATTTAGGAGATACTACCTTTTTTTAAAAGCCATGAGAAACAGGTTCATGGTCCTTGCTTCAGGGCACAAATGTAAACATGGGTGAGCTTCATTCCAAAAAATGTGCTCCATATGTATGTATGTTCATTCATTTATGTGCCAACCTTTCTCCTGGAACTGGGAATTAAAAACATTGGGATGAATTCACACCTCAGTTTATGCATGCGCCTGTGTTGTTTTGGATGGGGTACAAGGTCTTTTGGACTCTTTCCAAAACCTCCCTGGATTTCCCATCCTCATTGAGTAAAGGAAGACTTCCCCAGCTAGTCAAGGATTGTTATACTCAGAATACCTGGCCCTAGACTCACCTTCTTGAGTAGTATACTCCCTGCTACCCTTCTATTTGCCATATTTTGTGGCTTATCTGGGGGTATCTTTGATCATTATGACCCAGGCAGAGAATAACAGGTCAAGATTAAGACACTATGGAAGATAATCATAATTTTATTTATTACCCGTATCTCCTTGAGAGATAGGTGCCGTATATACTTGAGTATAAGCTGGGGTTTTCAGTCTTTTTTTAGGCTTATACTTGACGCAAAGTTATTTATTATTTTACTCTATTATTATTATTATTATTATTATTATTATTATTACATTTATTATTTTGCTTTATTATTTAATTTATTATTTTATTCTATTTATTATTACATTTATTATTTTATTCTATTTATCATTATAGTTATTATTACATTTCCATTATATTTATTATTAAATGGGACATGAGAGAAGCCTCCCACAAGGATGATAAAACATCAAATCATCCGGGTGTCCCCTGGGCAACATCCTTGCAGATGGCCAATTCTCTCACACCAGAAGCGACTTGCAGTTTCCCAGGTCGCTCCTGACACAACAAAAAAATTATTAATAATAGTACATTTTCATTATTTTACTCTATTTTACTCTATTATTATTATTATTATTACATTTATTATTTTTCTCTATTATTATTGGATGAATACGTAAGCACATTTACATTGAAGAAGGTTAGAAGAATAATGGTTTAATCAGAGTTGGACAATCCTATCTTAAATTACAGTTTTATGTAAATATTCAAAAACAAGTAACCTGATGCCTCAATTAATGTAATGTTACAGATATCTATTTTTATTTTGAAATTTCTCCCATAGCTGCTGCATTTCCCACTCTCGGCTTATACTCGAGTCAATATGTTAGGTGCCTTGGCTTATATTCGGGTTGGCTTATACTCGAGTATATATGGTAATCATCATAAACATTATATAAAATATAAATATTAAAACACATTTCTGCAAAATAAATATGAATTAATTTTATTATTTCAGTCACAGACTAGGAATGTAAAACTTTAAAACATTAAAAAGAGTTTTTTTCTAAATCGTTAACATTAAAAATTCACAACATCAAAAGCAGAAAGTCCGTAATCTACATGGCTTCATATATGATGGTTATAAAATCTGTGAGTATGGATAATAAGATGAATAAGTTAAAACTTTATCCGCTAAAATAACCCACAAACTGCTTCCTTGATTTTCTAGCTGCCGCACAAAACTTGCCCACTCTCTAAGTGATCAATGGGCCCCTATTCTCTATAAAATGTGGAGGCAGTCCTTTAAGCATGGCAGGCAGTTCATTGAATATTCAGAATGGGACCTCTTGGGTTAGGAGGCAGGGTTTTCAAATAGTAAAGCAGCCTGCTGAGTGCATGATGACAGGGTGAAGCCACTTGGGACACGGCCTCCCTCTGCTAGTTGTGACCCGAAAGTCATTTCAAAGGTAGACCAGGTGGAGATGTATGTGACAACTCCGCCCTTAGATTAGATGCAGTATCTTCTCGGTGGATCTATACTCCCACCTCTTTCCCCTCCCCAATTCCATCCCGTCTTAGAAAAGGGGCTTCCCACTCCATACATCACTCCCAAGGCCCAGGAGCCAACTGTACCGCTCCCATTGCTCCCATTTATCCCTTACAAACATTTCCCTTTTCATTTTCTCATCCAGAGTTTTTATCATTTTATGTTATTCATGTGGCCCGCTCACTGTGATTGATTTCTCTGCATTATTTTGTTTTGTTTCATTTTGAGTTTTTTATTGTATTCCTATGTTTTATTTATCTTATGTCAGTGGCATCGGCTGCATAGCAAGGCAGGAAACAGATAGATCACAGCCACCTTAGGCTATAAACTACTTTATTTTACAGGTATATACATTAGAAGCTACTTAACACTCAGCACATCGTAAAACTTGCTGCCTCTCCGCCCGATAGTAACATCGCGAACACACGAACACACTGTTATCAGCATTAGTCCACACCTCTTGCATTCCAGAATGACGTCACAACACTGTGTCCATTTGCTCTATACACTTGATTTATGACCTCTCTAGGAATGCCATTCCCTCCATGGTTCAGTTAACTCTTTCCACACAGGAATACACTCGGCACATAACTACTGCATTTTAAACATACATACTTTGAAATCCACATTACAAATTGCAAACAGCTCCAACATCTTATTGTGATATTAGTTTTGTTGTTTGGTTTTATTTGATTGTATTTTGTTGTAATTGTATTTCTGGGCTCAGCCTCATGTAAGCCACCCCGAGTCCCCTTTGGGGAGATGGTGGCGAGGTATAAATAAAGATTATTATTATTATTATTATTATTATTATTATTATTATTATTATTATTGCTTTGTCCGAAAGGCAGAGCTTGACACACTCTGTCTCCACGCAGGAAGTTCGCTGACATCGTTTGGAACGGAAACGTCATCTGGTGCTAATTTGTCCCAGAGCAACGCAGTGGGTTCGACTTTTACAACGGATGCAAGATCTTTAAAAACCCAACTCTCACAAGGTAAAAACTGCTGTTGGCCAATTCCTCACCATTTTGGGTATGTCGAAGGATGAACTGATGGAGCATATCATTTGCCTTAAAATCAGTAAAACAGAGTTAGTGTGCACTTTGTGAGTGTGTGCGTTGTTTCCTGAAGGCCATATGGTTTCAGGCGATGGTAATGTGCAGGGGGAGCCTCTTCTTGTTACTTGTGTTTACTGTAATTTTATATTGTTATGCATCGTATGTTTTATGTAATTATGATGTTGTTTATTGTTTTTGTTTTTATTTTGCTGTAATTTGTTGTTTGGGCTTGGCCTCATGTAAGCTGCCCCGAGTCCCCACCGGGGAGATGGTGGCCAGGTATAAATAAAGATTATTATTATTATTATTATTATTATTATTATTATTATTATTATTATTTGGTAGGCTGTTGGGAATTGTGGGTGTTGAAGTCCAAAACACCCATGCCTGCGTTAGTGGGTCTAAAAACACTGGAGCAATTTTCCTCTGTCGGGGATCAAGAAGTGTCAAAGTCATGGGAAAGCTCAGCTTGGGCTGAGGATGCCATCCTTTATTTCCATCTTTCTTCCAGGGCGTTCAAGTCCCCCGTTGGACCATTTGAGAAAGAGCCCGACCTTGGAGCAAGCGGTGCAGACGGCCCCGAGCCACTTAGCTGCTTCGGCGCCCATTGGGAGGAGGAGTCCTCTCTCGGCCAGACCCCTGGGGGGAGGAGCCAACCAAAAAACGTTAGAACATCATGAGCACAGAAGAGGTAGGCTTGGAGCTTTGACCGTGGCTCACTTTGGATTCCCTTGGGTCCTTTTCTGCGGGTTTTGCTTCTCACTGAAACCCAGAGTCTTTTGTTTCAGGTCAATTGGTAGTTATTATTCTCTCTATGCCTTGATAGCAGAGCTTTCCAAATGGTGTGTCGCGACACCTTTGTGTAGGTTTGTCACGCAAATGTAATGTGAAACCTTATAGTCTGGGGAAAATAAGCAGTCAGTCATCTTAAATAAATAAAAATATAATGGGTTCGTTTGTGGATTAACATAACTCAAAACCCACTGGGCAAATTGACACCAAATTTGGACACAAGACACCTCTCAGACCAACAAGTGACCATCACTCATAAAACACTGAAAAACACAGCAGAAGAGACTTTAAAAGCCAAAAAATTAAAAAATACATTATAACTCATGCACAAAACTGCATATATAAACATACATACACACACAAAACACATATACACAGACTGGGCCACAGCAACGCATTGCAGGGGAAGGCTAGTAAAAAAATAAAAATATAATGTTCATTTGTGGGATTAGCATAACTCAAAAACCACTGGACGAATTGAAACCAAATTTGGACACAAGACACCTATCAGGCCAACGAGTGACCATCACTCATAAAAACATTGAAAAACTGCAACAGAAGAGACTTAAAAAGCCCAAAACAAAAAAATACATTACACGCATGCTCAAAACCACATATATATATATATACTCAAACACACATATAAACATATATACACAAATATATATACACATATATATACACACAAAACACATATACACAGACTGGGTGGGGTATAAATAAGATAAACTAATATTATATTATTAAATCACAATATCTATATAAATAAAATTGTAATATTCACTTGTGGGATTAACATAACTCAAAAACCACCGGGCAAATTAACACCAAATTTGGACACAATACACCAATCAGGCCAACGAGTGACCATCACTCATAAAAACACTGCAAAACACAGCAGAAGATACTTTAAAAGCACCAAAACAAAAAAATGCATTACAATGCATGCTCAAAGCCACATATATACACACACAAAACGCTTATTTATTTATTTAGTTAGTTAGTTTATTATTTATTTAGAACTTTTATATACCGGTCTTCTCAACCTCTAGAGAGGGAGTCGGGCCGGTTTACAACACGATTCAAAAACAGTAGTTTAAAACATCACACCATATACACCATAAAACATCACACACATACACAGACTGGGCCATAGTAACGTGTGGCATGGGATGGCTAGTATGTTTATATATGTGTGTGTGTGAGAAAGGTTTTCATGAGATAAGTTTCCATATAGCTCATTACTACAATTTATCTATGAATCCATCTCTCTTATAAGGGGTTGGTTTAACCTCTGGTTTGCTGGCAAAAACTCAATTACTATGTCGCTACATGATGCATGTCTACAAAGTGTCTTCTCAACATGAAATGTTTGGAAAGCTCTTCCTTAGTTCCCATGTTTTTTACTGTTGTTTGGAGAACAGTTTGGCAATCTGTGCAGCCCTGGGAGGGTCCCCAGGGCAGAGAACTGGCCCCCAGTAACAATGTTGGGGCCTACTTGTTGCATACATACTCTTATAGAGTAGAAATAACACCTCTTGCCTTCTTCTTTCCTAGTTGAAATGCATAAGGTCTCAAGGAATGAAGCGGAGCATCTCAGAAACGAGAACAAACGTCAAATGGGTGAGTTGTTCCCCCCCCCCCCCAGCATGTCTGCTTATATAGTATACTAGCTGTCCCCTGCCACGCATTGCTGTGGCCCAGTCTGTTGATCTGGAAAATAAAGTAATGAGAAAGTGTTGGTTTCTAATATATGTAATTTCTTTATACTTGTGGGTAAATAATATTTCTTGCTGTTTCTTTGTCAGTGTTGATGTGGAGAATGTCTGGTTTGCCTACTCTGGAACATGCAAGATATCATTGTCCTTTAGGAGTCCCTTCCAAATCTATGATACTATATCAGTGTGTGTGTGAATCATATCTATCTATATCTATGGCTGGATGGCTCTTTCTCAGGAGGGCTTGGATAACGTTTTCTTGCCCTGATGAAGGGAGTTGGACTGGTTGGCCTTCATTATTTTCTGTTGGTCATGGGGGTTCTGTGTGGGACGTTTGCCCCGATTCTGTAGTTCGTGGGGTTCAGAATGCTCTTTGATTGTGGGTGAACTGTAAATCTTAGTGACTACAAATCCCAAATGTCAAGGTCTATTTCCCCCAAACTCCATCTGTGTTCATATTTAGGCGTATTGAGTGCTTGTGCCAAGTTTGGTCCAGATCCATCATTGTTTGAGTCCACAGTGCTCTCTAGATGTAGGTGAACTACAATTCCAAAACTCAAGGACAATGCCCACTAAACCCTTTCAGTTGGTCTTGGGAGTTCTGTGTACCAAGTTTGGTTCAATTCCACTGTTGGTGGAGTTCAGAATGTTCTTTGATTATAGGTGAACTATAAATCCCAGCAACTACAACTCCCAAATGACAAAATCATAATTTTTGAGTGATGGTCACTCCTTGTGTTGTGAGATGTTTTGTTGCCAAATTTGATGTGATTTCGTTCATTGGTTCTTTTGTTTTTAAGGTACTTACTATGAACGGAGCATTTTTATATATATAGATAGATGCTTGTATAGTATATGCGTGTCTGCTCGTATAGTATATGCAGTATATGTACAGTATATGCTCTCCTGATCACTCTGCGCCTTCAGCAGAATGCAATAGGGAATCTGTCTGAGTTGGGCCACTTATGTTTGATGTGGCCGTTGCCAAATACTGTGAGATCTTGACTTAAGAGTGTTTTGAATTAAGAGCTGTCACTCACCCTGGTTTTGCTTTGACATGCAAGCAGCATTTTCAGTTAAGAGCAAGTGCCAGAGGGAATGTTAGCGTGAGAGTACAGGGCTTTCCGGCTTCAAGGGAGCATCCTTTGGGCCTCATGCTCTTGGCCAGTTTATTGCTGTCTGCTTTGCTCTTGACCGCTTTGAGGAACTTTGTGTTAGTTGATTTGTGTGGTTTTTATTCCTGGTCTGTTTATCTTCCTGAAGAAAGAGAGAGGGAGAGAAAGAGCAAGAGAGCGAGGGAGGTTGGAATGAGTACAGCATGAAGAAAAGGATGTGTCTGCCTTTTTGCTTTGTGCTTCCTTGCCACAACTTTGTGCTTCTACCTTTTTAAAGCTGATCTTTGTATTGTTCCATGCTTGTTGTTTATGTTTTGGTCTTATTTTGCTGTAATATGTTGTCCGGGCTTGGCCCCATGTAAGCCGCTCCAAGTCCCCATTGGGAAGATGGTGGCATGGTATAAATAAAGTATTATTATTATTATTACTAGCAGTCCCCTGCCACGCATTGCTGTGGTCCAGCTTGGTGATCTGGAAAATAAAGTAATGAGAAAGTGCTGGTTTCTAATATATGTAATGTCTTGATGCTTGTGGGTAAACAGTATTTCTTGATGTGGAGATTCTCTGGTTTGCCTTCTCTGGAACATGCAACATGCAAATTGTCCTTTGGGGGTCCCTTTCAAATCTTTGATACTGCATCTATCATATACATATATGTATGTATGTGAATGGCTGGATGCCCCTTTGTCAGGAGGGCTTTGATTATGTTTCCTTGCCCTGGTGAAGGGAGTTGGACTGGATGGGCTCAAGGCAGCATTTCTGAACCTGGAAAGTCAAGACCCGGAAGGGAGGGTTACCAGGGGGGTGACAGAAGGGTCACCAAAGACCACCAGAAAACACAGTATTTTAGGTTGGTCATGAGGGTTCTGTGGGAAGTTTGCCCCAATTCTGTCGTTGGTGGGGTTCAGAATGCTCCTTGATGGTAGGGGAACTATAAATCCCAGTAACTACAACTCCCAAATGTCACGGTCTATTTCCCCCAAACTCCATCTGTGTTTATATTTGGGCATATTGAGTATTTGTGCCAAGTTTGGTCCAGATCCATCATTGTTTGAGTCCACAGTGCTCTCTAGATATGAACTACAACTCCAAAACTCAAGGTCAATGCCCACCAAACCCTTCTGGTGTTTTCTGTTAGTCATGGGAGTCTTGTGTGCCAAATTTGGTTCAATTCCATCATTGATGGAGTTCAGAATGCTTTTTGATTATAGGTGAACTATAAACCCCAGCAACTACAACTCCCAAATGACAAAATCATAATTTTTTGAGTGATGGTCACTCCTTGTGTTGTGAGACATTTTTTTGCCAAATTTGGTGTGATTTCGTTCTTTGGTTCTTTTGTTTTTAAGGTACTCAGTATGCACAGAGCATTTATATATATATAGATTATTATTATTATTAGTGTGCATTTATGCATTATTTGTTATTTATAAAGTAACATTTCCTTATTTTAAAACACGTAACAAAAAATGGGGGGTGTTTGGGGGGCAGTGGGAAAATTCACTTTGAGAGAACAGTGATGCTTCAATATTTTTTTCCTGCAGTTCCAGGTGTCCCGACAGCGCGAAGGGGTCGCGGGGGCCACCGGGGCGGCAGGGGACGGTTCGGGATCAGGCGGGACGTCCCCATGAAGTTTGAGAAGGACTTTGACTTTGAAAGCGCAAATGCCCAGTTCAATAAGGAGGAGATCGACCGTGAATTTCACAACAAGCTAAAACTGAAAGGTGAGCCAACTGTTGCTTTTAAACAGGGTGTTAAAGGCCTCGTGGATTTGGACCCTTCTGCAGAAGCTTGCAAACAGGGTTTCTCGGCACTATGTAAAGTTGAAAAATGTTCTGTTCCTGGTTTGAAAGTGTTACTTCCAGTTTAATTGTGTGGTAATTACTGTATATACTCGAGTATAAGCCTAATTTTCAGCCCTTTTTTAGGCTGAAAAAGTCCCCCTTGGCTTATTATACTCGAGTCAGTGTTATTTATTATTTTACTCTGTTATAAATACATAATAAATGTATTATTATTATTACATTTATTGTTTTTGTTTATTGTTGTTATTACATCTATTATTACTGTTATTATTACATTTCCATTGTTTTACTCTATTATTATTATTATTATTATTATTATTACATTTATTGGGTTGTACGTTTTTTCGGGCTGTATGGCCATGGTCTAGAGGCATTCTCTCCTGACGTTTCGCCTGCACTTTGGCAAGCATGTATGGCCTCACTACCTCTGAGGATGCTTGCCAAAGTGCAGGCGAAACATCAGGAGAGAATGCCTCTAGACCATGGCCATACAGCCCGAAAAAAACCTACAACAACCCAGTGAATCCGGCCATGAAAGCCTTCGACAGTACATTACATTTATTATTTTATTCTGTTTATTATTGGAAGGATGCATAAGCACATTTACATTGAAGGAGGTCAGAATAAGCCATCGCAAATGCGACTGGTGGGGACTAGGGACAGGGCCTTCTCAGCAGTGACCCCCTCCTGTGGAACGCCTTCCCTAGAGACATTAGATTGGCCACCTCCCTCCTGTCTTTTAGAAGGAAAATCAAGACCTGGTTATGGGACCAAACATTCAACTAGTGAGCAGCAAGTGGAAGAAGTCTTAGCAACTTATGACAATGAACTGATCCAGACTGAATTTTGGATTCTGGTTTTAATAGAAGTGTGTTAATTAATTGTTTAAATTGCTGTTTTAATATTTGAATGTACTGCTGATTGTTTTATGATGTTGGTGCCTTGTGGTGCTTTTGTGAGGCTGCCCTGAGTCTCCCCTTGGGGGTGAGAAATATAGGAAATAAAGAAATAATTCTCCTCCCCTCCTTTTCCAATCTTCTAGAAGACAAGCCAGAGAAACCTATAAACGGCGAAGACAAAGGGGATTCGGGTGTCGACACCCAGAACAGCGAGGGCAACGCTGACGAGGAGGAGTCTCTTGCGGCCAACTGCTACTACGACAAAACCAAGTCCTTCTTTGACAACATTTCCTGTGATGACAATAGGTACCAGATGTGTCCTTCTAGCCCTGGTAGACCTGTTAAAGTTAAGCCACTGGGAGTTTTACTTTGGGCACTGCTTTGTTCTCTTGGAGGAGGGAAGGCTGGCAAGGATGGTGTCATTGTTTTTAGTGTTTTATTATTTGCTTATGAGTTTTATTGTTGTATTTGTATGCTGTTGTTGTTGGTGGCCTTGGCCTTGTAAGCCGCATCAAGTCCTTTGGGAGATTTTGCATGGTATAAATAAAGTTAATCATAATAATAAATAATAATTTTATTACCCTGGGGATTGAATCTTGATGCATCTTAGGGAAGGATAAGGTTTGGGGAGGCAAAGAATCCTGAATATCTCACCCCAAACTACAAATCCTAGAATGGTAGCATGGCAGATAAATGCAGAACCGTCATGATGCCCTTGTGTAGCACAAAAAAGGTATTTCATGTGTCAGTGCAATTATTTATTTATTTATTTATTTGCAACATTTCTATGCTGCCCTTCTTACCGCAAAAGGGACTCAGAGCGGCTTACAAGATATATATACATACAATATATATTATTAGCATAGTACAACATCCGTACCATACACTACTATATTGCACTATACCATTATATTGTAATATTGGTAATATTACATGCAATATAAATATATAATTATTTATATTACATTATAATATTATATTATATAACCTGAAGGGGACTCAGAGCGGCTTACAAGATATATATATATATACACACACACACACACACACACACACACACACATACAATATATATTATAAGCATAGTACAACATCAGTACCATACACAACTATATTGCACTATACCATTATATTGTAATATGTATTATATTGTATTACATTATAATAATATATGTATATACAATATATTATATTATTAGTAAAGACATTTTTGCCTCATTCCTGCCAGTTTGAGGGACTGTGACCTGGCCCTCTGTTTAAAAAGTTTGAGGACCCCTGTTCTAGAACATGGCCATATAGCCCAAAAAACATACAACAACCCAGTGATTCCAGCCATGAAAGCCTTCGACAATAATTGTGTTGCTTTGAGATTTTGGGCTGTGTGGTCATGTTCCAGAAGCATTCTCTCCTGACGTTTTGCCCACATCTATGGCAGGCATCCTCAGAGGTTGTGAGGTAATGCTTCTGCAACATGGCCATGCAGCCCGGAAAACTCACGGCAACCCAGTGATTCTGGCCATGAAAGCCTTCAACAGCAATAGTTGTATTACCTGCCTCCCCTTGTGGCTTGAGGCAGAGCACAGCAGGGTTAAAACGAAGGGATAAAACAGAAGACTATTAAATACCTATAACAGAATGAAAGCTGGGAAGATCTGGGTGGAAAAATGTGGAGGAGGACCCAGATATGGGAAAACTGTGGCCCTCCAGGTGTTTTGGATGTCGGCTCCCACAATTTCTAACGGTCAGCCTGCATCAGAGCATTGCTGAAATAATAATAATTTATTATTTAATTATTATTTATTTACTTTACTTTACTTTACTTTACTTGTATACCGCAGTTTCTCAGCCCAACAGGCGACTCAACGCGGTTTACAACAAGGATAAAAATCAATCAACGATATACAATTTAAAACCATAAAAGCATCATATACAATCTTAACACAACCATAGACAACACAATACATCTCATAACTGGAGTCGTGATCCAATCCGTCGTCCAAATTTCCATTCCTGTAATCATCACATTCATTGCACTGTTTAACCGAATGCCAAACATCCAAGTTTTTAATCTTCTTCGGAACACCATTAGCGAGGGGGCTGATCTTACCTCCATAGGAAGGGCGTTCCACAGCCGGGGAATAATAATAATAATAATAATAATAATAATAATAATAATAATAATAATAATAATGGGTGGTAGATTTTTTTCGGGCTATATGGTCATGTTCTAAAGGCATTTTCTCCTGATGTAATAATAATAATAATAATAATAATAATAATAATAATAATAATAATAATAATAATACTTTATTTATACCCCGCTCCATCTCCCCCAGGGGGACTTGGTGCGGCTTACATGAAGCCACGTCCATCAATACAGTACACACAATATAACACAAAAACATAGAACCAAAACAAAAATAAATAAAATGCAAAACCAATATAATAAGTGACACAACAATATAAAATCAAACATTAAAAACACAGAAGATTTCACTGGGCAGGGCCAAATTCAAGGATAGAACTTTAAAACACTGGGAGATAGGACAATGTAAATTATCAGGAGGAGGATCCGGGAATGAGGAACGATTTAATTGCACAAACCATAAAATAAAGTGCTTCTAAGGACATTTTGTGCAAAGTTTCGTCAGGGAGTATCTTACATTGAATCACTGAAGGCACATTGGAATAGCCAGGTTTTCAGATTCCTCCTGAAGAATGCCAGCGTGGGGGCTTGCCTAATATCTCTGGGGAGTGAGTTCCAGAGCCAGGGGGCCACCACAGCGAAGGCCCTCTCTCTCGTCCCCGCAAGTCGCATTTGCGATGCGGGCGGGAGCGAGAGAAGAGCCTCTCTGGAAGAGTTATTGTTATTATTATTATTATTAACTTTATTTATACCCCGCAAAATCTCCCGTAGGACTCAATGCGGCTTACAAAGGCCAAGGCCGCCAACAATCGACATACAATACACAATAAACTCAAAAGCAAATAATAAACACCAAGCAAAACAGTAAAACAATGACACCGTGACATAATTAAAACCAAAGGCCGGGCCAAATGTAATGGACAGAATTAAAATGCTGAACTTGACAGGTAATATGTAGAGGTATATGGAGGTAGGTGCAATGTGCAGATAATCCTGAGTCTCTAGTAAAGTGCAATTGGGCTTAAAACCGGGATTTTCCTATTCTGGAAAGGCACACTGGAACAGCCAGGTCTTCAGGCTCTTCCTAAAGACAGCCAACGTTGGGGCTTCTCTGATGTCCTTGGGGAGAGAGTTCCAGAATCGGGGGGCCACCACAGAGAAGGTGTTACTGTTAATGTTTGCTGTTTATTTTCTGTTTATGAGTTGTATTTTATTGTTATGTATTACTGTTGTTATTGTTTTTACTGATGTACTGTGGGCTCGGCCTCATGTAAGCCGCACCGAGTCCCTTGGGAGATGGTAGCGGGGTATAAATAAGTTGTATTATTATTATTATTATTATTATTATTATTATTATTATTAAGAGATCCTGTGGGTTCGTAGATGGAAATGCGGTCGCACAGATAGGTGGGTCCCAAACCGTTCAGGGCTTTGTAGGTCAAGACCTGCACCTTGAATTGGGCCCGGAAAATAAACGGCAGCCAGTGGAATTGGAACTTTAGCGCTCTTTCTCTGTGCAGTTTTGTCGTGTGCCCCGCAAGGTCCAACTTTCTTGTCCCTGTTGGCCTGTTTTCAGAGACCGGAGACCAACCTGGGCAGAGGAGCGGAGGCTAAACGCAGAGACCTTTGGGCTCCCCTTGCGCTCGAACCGCGGCCGAGGAGGGGGCTACCGAGGCCGAGGGGGAGGCGGCGGAGGAGGTGGCGGCTTCCGGGGCGGAAGAGGACGTGGAGGAGGCGGTGGTGGAGGCGGCATGAGGGGGAATTACGGTGGCGCCCCCCGAGGCTTCCGGGGCGGATACCGGGGCAGCCGCGGCGGACGGGAGTTTGCTGACTTCGAATACAGGGTAACGTATACCAACAGTCTTTGTCGTTTGCAGCCAAAGGTCGCTGGCTCTCAATTTCAACGACAATTTAGTTATTTGAGACATGGGCAAACTTTGGCCTTCAGGTGTTTTGGGCTTCCAACTCCACAATTCCTAGTTACACTCTGTAATTCCTAGGTTATAAATGCCATTTCTTAATTGGTTCTATCACAAAAACATGGGGAAAATTTATCAAAATGCACAAACTTTTTTTCTGCCAGCTTCAGCTTCCCATATGTGGACATGAGAGAATCATAGAAACATAGAGTTGGAAGAATCCTCATGGGACATCCAATCCAACCCCCTGCCAAGAAGCAAGAAAATTGCATTCTAAGCACTCCCAACAGATAGCCATCCAGCCTCTGTTTAAAAGCCTCCAAAGAAGCGGGGACTCCACCACACTCTGGGGCAGAGAGTTCCACTGCTGAACAGCTCTCATAGTCAGGAGGTTCTTCCTAATGTTCAGATGGAATCTCCTCTCTTGTAGTTTGAAGAAGCCTCCCACATGATGGCGTAAGGGGAAAGAACCTAGGGAATGCCGTCCCCCACTCTGGGAACTTGCCGGGATGCTATTTGAGATCACCACAGGAGTCCAAACAGTTAGAGTAAAACACAGGTTTATTTCTACTAATCAGTGAGAAAGGTGGACAGACAGCATATGTATAATAATGCCGATCCCAAGCTGCTGCGCCCTAACGGCACAGCTAAGAAGCTTATATACCCTCAGGCAACCATTTAGCAACCATGTGGCAAGCCTCATGTACCCTGTGGTCAACCAGCTTGTACCTTGTGGTCAACCTGAAGCAATCATGAAGCAAGCACAACTTGGTTAATCATCCTGTTTGTCACAGAAGTCACACCATCACCAAATACGGCATGCCTGCCCCGGGCACCTACATCATCTCCAAATATGGTACGCCCGCAGCATGTATGCCTGAAGCACACAGTATCTCCAAATATGGCATACCCTCTCAATCCCCCCTTTTTCTTGTGACTAAGAAGACCCTTCTTCATGGTCACGCCTTAGTTGCAATTAACACATCCAGGCAATGTCCCCTGGGCAACATCCTTGCAGACGGCCGAATTTTTCACACCAGAAGTGACTTGCAGTTTCTCAAGTTGCTCCTGACACACACAAAAAAGTTAATTCTACTGTGTAGTTCAGGCATGGGCAAACTTTGGCCCTCCAGGTGTTTTGGACTTCAACTCCCACAATTCCTAACAGCCGGTAGGCTGTTAGGAATTGTGAGAGTTGAAGTCCAAAACACCTGGAGGGCCAAAGTTTGCCCATGCCTGGTGTGGATGCAATTTGAGCGTCCCAAAGGACCAGAATAGACTTGTGGGCAACAGGACAAAGGGATGTATTCCTTGGCAACAGATTTAGGAGTCTTCCAAATAAGTTTCAGCACCGAGTGGGCCAGCCTATGGAAAAATACGCGACTCCATTCCCTGGTTTTTAGGCCTTTAGATGTTTTTCTGGGATTGTTTTGACTTTGTTCTGGATCCACAAGAAGCACAACTAACGGCGCTTCCCGTTTCCTTTTCTGTTTTGCAGAAAGACAACAAAGTGGCCGCGTAGTCTGCAAAAAAGAGATCTTGCGGAGATCTTCACGGAGAATGTGTCGGCCTTTTTTTTGCGAAAGAGTTGAAATAATTTTTTTCCTGTCCAACCTGTCACCAGCACTGGGGTCTGTTTGTTGTTTTTTTATTATTAAAAAAAATATTTCACAGAGCAGGAGCCTTTTGGGAAGAAGAATTATTATTATTATATATACAAAAAAAAACAACCAATGGCCATTTGTCCGAAAAAGCAACAAGCATTAAATATATTTGAGATAGAAGACTGAAGTAGTTTCTTACCTATAGTTACACAAATCTAAAGCCGTACTTCAGTATTTTTTTTTCTGTCGCCGAGGGTTTGTTTTTTTTTCTGAACCAAAACCGTATTTGATAATTGCTGCAAAGACAATTAATCGTATGCAGAAAAAAGGCCGTCAGTACTGTGAGTGTGTTGTTTTGTTTTTGGAAACCCCGTCATCTCCTTTTTGAGATAGCTGTACCTTTTTTGTCATAATAGGACGGTAGAAAACACACAAAAAAAATTGAAATATAAACACGGTGGGGGAAAAAATGCTGTTTCTTAGGCAAAGGAAGGAAAACAAAACCCCTTTTTTATAGTTGTACAATTCTGTGATTTTACCCCATTGCCAAAGAAACGCTAGTGACTTTGTATAGCTGTATAAAAAGCAACTAATTTTGTAAGAATCTACCTTTTTTCAGTCTATTGCTGCGCTGAGAATGCTTAAAACACAAGACATGCAACACACGTAAAGACACACACAAACAAGTTAGTTTCTTTTTGTAGCTTTCCAGTTTGGGATTAGTTTTTTTTTTGTAATGGTTTGACTTGGAAGCAACTCTGTGAAACGTTTTTCCGTCATTACACAAATTAAGACAAAAAAAATATTATTTTTTTCAATTTTTTCCTGTTGTCGTTTTAGAGATTGATCTGATAATTTCCAATGAGGACAAACCTTAGTTAGCACTTGGTGGCACGATTCACAGTTCGTATTTGTGAAATTTCTCCCCTCTCCGGAAAAAGGCGCAAGGCACACCAAGTTGTGACGTTCCTGGCGTTCAAATGAAATGTCTCCATGTGTCGATCCTTTCAGGCGTTGACTCTGTTTTAATATTGTTGGCCTACTCTTTATTATAATTATTATTATTATGATATAAAACAAGTGACGATTTCTTAGTGTTTGCCATTTCTTGCTTGAGCTTTGGATGGAAGTGTAGCTTGGGGGGCGCTCTCCTTCGACACGTATCCCCAGAGTGGTTTCGGTATGCGTTTTCCAGTTCCGAACGACTAGTTACGACTTCCTTTTTTTGACATGTTGTAATTGGAAGCAGCAAGTATGTTTTGTATCCAGGAATAAAGGGATCCAAAGATTTTAACATCCTTTTCTAAATCTTTAATTTGTTTCTCTGTCATGTTCGGTAGCAACCCATATGTGGACGACTTCACTATGAGGGAAACGTAGGAAATATTGACACGACTGAATCATAATTTTATATGTATTGTTGAAGGCTTTCATGGCCGGAATCACTGGGTTGTTGTAGGTTTTTTCAGGATATATGGCCATGTTCTAGAGGCATTCTCTCCTGATGTTTTGCCTGCATCTATGGCAAGCATCCTCAGAGGTTGTGAGGATGCTTGCCATAGATCAGGGTTTCTCAACCTTCCTAATACCACGACCCATTAATAGAGTTCCTCATGTTGTGGTGACCCCCAACCATAATATTGTTTTCATTGCTACTTCATAACAGTCATTTTACTATTGTTATAAATCATAATGTAAATATCAGATATGCAAGATGTATTTTCATTCACTGAACCAAACTGGGCACAAATACCCAATGCACCCACATGTAAATGCTAGTGGGGTTGGGGGAGGATTGATTTTGTAATTTGGGAGTTGTAGTTGCTAGGATTTATAGTTCACTTATAATCAAAGAGCATTCCGAACTCCACCAGCGATGGATTTGAACCAAACTTGGCTCCCATGACCAATGGAAAACATTGGAAGGGTTTGATGGGCATTGACCTTGAGTTTGGGAGTTGTAGTTCACCTATATCCAGAGAGCACTGTGGACTCATACAATGGTGGATCTGGACCAAACTTTGCACAAATACTCAATATGCCCAAATGTGAACACTGGTGGAGTTTGAGGGAAACAGACCCTGACATTTGGGAGTTGTAGTTGCTGGGATTTACAGTTCACCTACAAATAAAGAGCATTCTGAACCCTACCAACAATAGAATCAGGGCAAACTTCCCACAAAGAACCCCTATGACCAACAGAAAATACTGTGTTTTCTGATGGCCTCTGACACCCCCTTGCGACCCCTCCAGGGGTCCCCACCCCCAAGTTGAGAAACGCTGCCGTAGATGCAGGTGAAATGTTGGAATCCAGACACCTTAAAGGGCCAGACTCAAAAGTGGATTCAAAACAGAGTTTATGAAAACAAAGGAAAAAGGACTTAGAGGTACTAAATGCAGTGCCACTGGCTAAAACTCCAGAAACAAACCAGAGCTGGTCCAAAAAGGTTAACAGAAATATAATCCAGATTAACTGGAATAGGGAAAGAAAAAACGAATCAAACAAGGTGCTCTGAGGCAAAACAAAAAGGCACAGTACACAACTGGTTAACAAAAAAAAGGAGGGTCCGCAGAAAGAGAAGCATCGTCAGGCGAAGTCTAGGATCGAAGAGGGAGAGATCTGAAACAGCGCTGCTCCAGTGTCCGCAGAAGCCGCATCTTTAGTCAAACCGGTCCAAGAAGGGAGAAGTCCACATTCACGAGAAGCCAATCCGGGTCAATAACACGCGAACGATGCAGATCCTAAACCAACGGCAAACACGAAACAGGCAGCAACAAGTCTACAAGAATCTTTTCCAATACACAGCACCCAACACACGAACGCCCATTAACACCTTGCCTTCTGCAAGGACCCCTCACCCCTGAACCCACTTTTATTTACAACTCATCTTCAGAAGATGAACTGACCACCGTCCCATCATTATCCCCCGCAGCTGCTCCCAGCTCTTCACGTGAACTCCCTTGTCCTTCCGTCCAAGTCTTCCATCTCCTGTCAAGACTTCGGTCCCCTCAAGACTCAGTTGGATCTCCTGATTGCCAGTCTTCACCCCAGAGAACCCCATAAAGGCATCACTAGTTGTTGGCTCCTCACAAATAACTTGCACTATTTGTCCAATCCATGGTGTCTCCTTCTCCTTCGCTCATTGACCCATCATCCCCAAAGAATCCCTCAAACGACTCCTCATCTGTAGGTGCTGCAAGTATGTCCCAGATCCTCTTCCTCTGCTGCTCATCATCAGATTCCTGCTCCCGAGTAATCCTTTTTTCCCTTTTGGCATCCATACTATTGTATATAACGTTACTCACAGGCTTTACTACAACATGAAACATCAGGAGAGAATGCCTCTAGTCTAGAACATGGCCATATAGCCCGAAAAACCCTACAACAACCCATAATTTTATATCTTTTTGTTTTGTTTAGCACTATAAGGAAGTGTTTTGTCATTGGTTTCAACCGTAGAGGATTAGATACTCTCTCGTTTAGTACTATTTTTAATTATTATTATTAATTTTTGCATGTCAACAACAACAAGGCCTTTTGGGGAAATCCACAAATCATGACACTGAACCGCCATTGTTTTTGAGTTCGTTTCCTTTTTAGTTTTCTAGAGAAAGTGCTGTACTGTCGCAGTAACTCTTGCGTACTGTCTGAATGTGTCCCGGGTTGATATTTTGAACGATGACACCTGTTGTAAATACCCGAGTGAGACCCGCTGTGACAGTGGTGTGAATGGGTTTTCTCACTTGACCTGCCAGTCCCTTTGGGTTTACGAGTCGGGATGCCGAACGCGGCGCGTGTGACGTACCTTCGGTGTACTTTGCCACAGGAAAAAAGAGAGCCTTCTGTTTTAAGCCAGAATGAAAGCTATTCAATTAAAAAAAGGACAAAAAAAAACCACACCAGTCTTTGTGGAAGTCGTTTTCTTTGTTATACAAGACAACCCAGGCTTTGCCGTCTCAGGGTTTACCTTATTTCCCAGGTGATGTTGGTTTAGGACGTATGGGATCGACCCCTCGTCGGAGAGGAGCATGGCAGCCATCTATGTTTAGAATAAAAAGTCAAAATATCTCTGTATATATGTATGTATTTTTCAGCTGCTGATGGATCTGGACCCAACTTGGCACACCCACCCATCATGACCAACTTTGAATACTGGAGAGGTCTGGGGTTGGATTGACCCTTGATGTTAGGAGTTGTAGTTCACCCGGATCCAGAGGGCACTCTGAACGCAGACACAATCCCCCACTCTGAACACACACACACTCCCCCATGACCAACTTTACATGCTGACGGTGTTTGGAGGGGGAAATGATAGGATGATAGTTCACCTGCATCCAGAACCATCTTTAAATGCTTGTGGCGTGTGTGAGGGGGTCAATGATAGAGAATGATGGGAATTGGTAGTTCACCTGCATCCAGAACCATCTTTAAATGCTTGTGTATGTGAGGGGGGCAATGGTAAAGGATGATGGGATTTGTAGTTCACCCGCACCCAGAACCCTCTTTAAATGCTTGTGGTGTGTGTGAAGTGGGCAATGATAGAGGATGATGGGAGTTGTTCACCTGCATCCAGAACCATATTTAAATGCTCGTGGTGTTTGTGAGGGGAGCAGTGATGAGAGGATGATTGGAGCTGTAGTTCACCCGTATCTAGAACCATCTTTACATACTCATAGTGTGTGTGAGGGGTGCAATGGTAGAAGATGATGTGATTTGTAGTTCACCCGCACGCAGAACTCCAGAACCATCCTTAAATGCTTTTGTGTGTGAAGTGGGCAATGATAGAGGATGATGGGAGTTGTTCACCTGCATCCAGAACCATATTTAAATGCTCGTGGTGTGTGTGAGGGGGGCAGTGATAAGAGGATGATGGGAGCTGTGCTTCACCTGCACCCAGAACCATATTTAAATGCTTGTGATGTGTGAAGGGAGGGCAATGATAGAGGATGGTGGGAGTTGTGCTTCACCTGCACCCAGAAGCATCTTTAAATGATTGTGGTGTGTGTGAAGGGGGCAATGATAGAGGATGATAGGAGTTGTTGTTCACTTGCATCCAGAACCATCTTTAAATGCTCATGGTGTGGGGAGGGGGGGGGGAGGGGACAATGATAAGAGAATGATGAGAGTTGTAGTTCACCTGCATGGATCTGCGAACCACACCAACAATGGATCTGGACCAAAGTTTACACACATACCTCATTATGACCAACTTTATGGGTGCAGTATGGAAGCAATTATGTATAAAAAATAAACATTTTTATCAAATTTAACCTGGTGACGCAATGGGTTAAAGCCCTGAGCTGCTGAACTTGCTGCTTCTACTATCCTTCCCTCCAGTGAGCAGTCAGGCTTTATTTCCTGGAGGATGGACTGGTTGGATCTTCTCGCAGTCCAAGGCACTCTCAGCACTTTCCTCCAACACCACAGCTCAAAAGCATCTCTCTTCCTTCGCTCAGCCTTCCCTAAGGTCCAGCTCTCACATCCGTAGGTGACTACAGGGAATACCATGGCTTGGACTAGGCAATGGATCTTTGTTGCCAGTCTGATGTCTCTGCTCTTTACTATTTTCTTGAGATTGGTCCTTGCTCTCCTCTCAAGAAGGAAGCGTCTTCTGATTTCTTGGCCACAGTCTGCATCTGCAGTAATCTTTGCACCTAGAAATACAAAGTCTATCACGGCCTCCACGTTTTCTCCCTCTATTTCCCAGTTGTCAATCATTCTTGTTGCCATAATCTTGGTTTTTTTGATGTTTAGCTGCAGCCCAGCTTTTGCACTTTCTTCTTCCACCTTGATTAGAAGGCTCCTCAGCTCCTCCTCGCTTTCGGCCATCAGAGTGGTGTCATCTGCATATCTGAGGTTGTTAATGTTTCTTCCAGCAATTATATCTAATCTCTATCTAATCTCTCTATTTTATCTATCTATTTTATCTATCTATCTTATCTAATATATCTCATCTATCTAATTTATGTAACTAATCTATCTAATCTCTCTATCTATCTCTCTGATCTATCTTATCTATCTATCTTATCTATCTAATATATCTCATCTATCTAATTTATGTAACTAATCTCTCTAATCTCTCTATCTAATCTATCTATCTCTAATCTATCTTATCTATCTATCTTATCTATCTAATATATCTCATCTATCTAATTTATGTAACTAATCTCTCTATCTAATCTATCTTATCTATTTTATCTAATATATCTCATCTATCTAATCTATGTATCTAATCTATCTAATCTCTCTATTTTATCTATCTAATATATCTCATCTATCTAATCTATGTATGTAATCTATCTAATATATCTATCTAATCTCTCTATCTAATCTATCTAATATAGCTATCTAATCTCTCTATCTTATCTATCTAATATATCTCATCTATCTAATTTATGTATCTAATCTCTCTATCTAATCTATCTAATCTATTTTATCTATCTAATATATCTCATCTATCTAATCTATGTATCTAATCTCTCTATTTTATCTATCTATCTTATCTATCTAATATATCTCATCTATCTAATCTATGTATCTAATCTATCTATCTAATATATCTATCTAATCTCTCTATCTAATCTATCTATCTAATATAGCTATCTAATCTCTATCTTATCTATCTAATATATCTCATCTATCTAATTTATGTATCTAATCTATCTAATCTATCTATCTAATCTATTTTATCTATCTAATATATCTCATCTATCTAATCTATGTATCTAATCTCTCTATCTAATCTCTCTATTTTATCTATCTATCTTATCTATCTAATATATCTCATCTATCTAATCTATGTATCTAATCTATCTATCTAATATATCTATCTAATCTCTCTATCTAATCTAATCTATCTAATATAGCTATCTAATCTCTCTATCTTATCTATCTTATCTATCTAATATATCTCATCTATCTAATTTATGTATCTAATCTCTCTATCTAATCTATCTAATCTATTTTATCTATCTAATATATCTCATCTATCTAATATAGCTATCTAATCTCTCTATCTTATCTATCTATCTTATCTATCTAATATATCTCATCTATCTAATCTATGTATCTAATCTATCTATCTAATATATCTATCTAATCTCTCTATCTAATCTATCTAATATAGCTATCTAATCTCTATCTTATCTATCTAATATATCTCATCTATCTAATTTATGTATCTAATCTCTCTATCTAATCTATCTATCTAATCTATTTTATCTATCTAATATATCTCATCTATCTAATCTATGTATCTAATCTCTCTATCTAATCTCTCTATTTTATCTATCTATCTTATCTATCTAATATATCTCATCTATCTAATCTATGTATCTAATCTATCTATGTAATATATCTATCTAATCTCTCTATCTAATCTAATCTATCTAATATAGCTATCTAATCTCTCTATTTTATCTATCTTATCTATCTAATATATCTCATCTAATTTATGTATCAAATCTCTCTCTTATCTATCTAATCTCTCTAATATATCACCTATCTAAACTCTCTATCTAATCTATCCAATCTCTCTAATATAGCTATCTAATCTATCTTATCTATCTATTTTATCTATCTAATATATCTCATCTAATTTATGTATCTAATCTATCTATCTTATCTATCTAATATATCTAATCTATCTAATATATCTATCTAATCTCTCTATCTAATCTACCTTATCTATCTATCTTATCTATCTACTATATCTCATCTATCTAATCTATGTATCTAATCTGTCTATGTATCTAATCTCTCTATCTATCTGTGGAATGATGTCCAGGGTGGAAGATAGGACACTTGTCTGCTTGAGGCAGGTGCCAATGTTGACATTTGCCACTTTGATTAGCATTGAATGGCCTTGCAGCTTCAAAGCCTGGCTGCTTCCAGCCTGGGGGAGTCCATTGAGGGGAACAACACTCAGAAAAAACTTGGAGGGCCCAAGTTGGCAGGTGCGTGCTCAAGAGACTCCATCACCACCCTCCTGCCCTTTTCCCCCATCGCCATTCATGACCTTGTTTTGCATTGAACTCAATAGACTTTCCCTCCCAATCTCCTGCTCCCCATTCAAAGCATCTCCTAGTCTGGCTCTTCCCCGTGACGTCATCGCCGCCACGCCTAATGCAGTGTTTGGGCCCTCCCCGCTCGCCGTAGCCGTGCCGGAAGTTGTGGCAACGCTACTTCCGCTTTCGGTTTCTTTCCCTCTTTCTTTCCCCGGGACGCGTGTCAGGCGCATCCACACGCGCCATGTCTTCCGCTTCGACGGTGTTGCTGGGCCTGATGGACGCCGCCGCCCCGCCCATGGCCTGCGAGGGAGAAGGGAGCCACAGCAAGATGGGCGGGGTTCCGGTGAGGGAAAGGAAGTCGTCATCATAATAATCATAATAAATGGCATAAGGTGAGTTTTCTGGGCTGCCTGGCCATCTCCCAGAAGCATTCTCTCCTGACGTTTCGCCCACATCAATGGCAGGCATCCTCTGTGGGGAAAAGAACTTTATGAGCATTGAATGGCCTTGCAGCTGCAAAGCCTGGCTGCTTCCAGCCTGGAACAACACTCAGATAAAAAGGGGAATTCCAGGCATCAAATAATCAGGACCAGTTGTCATTGGCCAGCTTGATTATCATTGAATGGCCTTGCAGCTTCAAAGCCTGGCTGCTTCCTGCCTGGGGGAGTCCATTGTTGGGAACAACACTCAGGGAAAAAAGGGGAAATTTCAGGTATCAAACAATCAGGGTCAGTTAAGACTTCTCAACAAAGGATTCCCCCAGAAATTTGTGAATGTTGCCATTGGCCAGCTTGATTAGCATTGAATGGCCTTGCAGCTTCAAAGCCTGGCTGCTTCCAGCCTGGGGAAATTCATTGTTGGGAACAACACTCAGGAAAAAAGGAGAATTCCAGACATCAAACAATCAGGGCCAGTTAAGACTTCCCAACAAAGGAATCCCCCAGGTATGAGTGAATGTTGCCATTGGCCAGCTTGATTAGCATTGAATGGCCTTGTAGCTTCAAAGCTTGGCTGGTTGCTGCCTGGGGGGAATCCTTTGTTGGGAACAACACTCAGATAAAAAGGGGAATTCCAGGTATCAAACAATCAGGGTCAGTTAAGACTTCCCAACAAAGGATTCCCCCAGGCATGTGTGAATGTTGTCATTGGCCAGCTTGATTAGTAATGAATGGCATTGCAGCTTTAAAGCCTGGCTGCTTCCTGCCTGGGGGAATCCTTTGTTGGGAACAACTCTCAGATAAAAAAGGGAATTCCAGGCATCAAACAATCAGGGCCAGTTAGCACTTCCCAACAAAGGATTCCCCTGGTATGCGTGAATGTTTTCATTGGTCAGCTTGATTAGCATTGAATGGCCTTGCAGCTGGAAAGCCTGGCTGCTTCCTGCCTGGAACAACACTCAGATAAAAAGGGGAATTCCAGGCATCAAACAATCAGGACCAGTCGTCATTGGTCAGCTTGAATGTTGTCATTGGCCAGCTTGATTAGCATTGAATGGCCTTGCTGCTTCGAAATCTGGCTGCTTCCAGCCTGGGGGGAATCCTTTGTTAGGAACAACACTCAGGAAAAAAGGAGGAATTCAAGGCATCAAACAATCAGGGCCAGTTAAGACTTCCCAACAAAGGATTCCCCTGGTATGCATGAATGTTGCCATTGGCCAGCTTGATTAGCATTGAATGGCCTTGCAGCTGCAAAGCCTGGCTGCTTCCAGCCTGGAACTACACTCAGATAAACAGGGGAATTCCAGGCATCAAACAATCAGCACCAGTTGTCATTGGCCAGCTTGATAAGCACTGAATGGCCTTGCAGCTTCAAAGCCTGGCTGCTTCCTGCCTGGGGGAGTCCATTGTTGGGAACAACACTCAGGGAAAAAGGGGGAATTCCAGTCATCAAACAATCAGGGTCAGTTAAGACTTCTCAACAAAGGATTCCCTCAGGCATGCGTGAATGTTGCCATTGGCCAGCTGGATTAGCATTGAATGGCCTTGCAGCTTCAAAGCCTGGCTGCTTCCTGCTTGGGGAAACTCATTTTTGGGCACAACACTCAGGAAAAAAGGGACTTCCAGGCATCAAACAAGCAGGGCCAGTTAACACTTCCCAACAATGGATTACCCAGTAATTTGTGAATGTTGCCATTGGCCAGCTTCCCAACAAAGGATTCCCCTGGTATGTATGAATGTTTTCATTGGTGAGCTTGATTAGCATTGAATGGCCTTGCAGCTTCAAAGCCTGGCTGCATCCTGCCTAGGGGAAATCCTTTGTTGGGAGGATAAACTCCAACCATGACCTAAATAAAAAAGTAGCACCATCAAAGCCTTGGCAGACTGTGCAAAAAGAATTTGCGAAGCCCACCTCCTCCATGATGAACTGAACCACTTAAACTGGGCTCTCCAGAAGAAATGAAGGAAGACTGCCTTTTCTAGATGTCCTAGTCATCCGCAAACCAGATCAACAATTGGGTCACACTGTCTACAGAAAACCCACACACACGGATAGATATCTACATAAAAACTCCAACCATCACCCAAGTCAAAAAAGAAGCACCATTAAAGCCTTGGCAGACCGTGCAAAAAGAATCTGCAAAGCCCACCTTCTCCAAGATGGACTGAACCACCTCAACTGGGCTCTCCAGGCCAATGGAGACTCCACCTCAGACATCAGAAGAGATGCAAGACAACCGAGAAGAAGCCACGAGAGTCAAGACGAAGATCCACCCAGAGGGAAAGTGTTCCTGCCATACATCAAGGGAACCACTGACTGCAGAGGGAAGCTGATGAGGAAACACAACATACAAACTATCTCCAGACCCACAAAGAAAATCCAACAAATGCTACGTCCAGCCAAGGACAAGAGGGATCCTCTCACTTCTGCAGGAGTCTCCCGTGTACCATGCAGCTGTGGACAAGTCTACAGAGGGACCACCAAACGCAGCAGCGTTGCCCAGGCACGAATCAAGGAACATGAAAGGCACAGCAGACTACTTCAACCAGAGAAGTCAGCCATCCCAGAGCACCTGATGAACCAACCTGGACACAGCATTTTATTTGAGAACACAGAAATGTTGGACCACACCAACAACCACCATGTCAGACTACACAGAGAAGCCACAGAAATCCACAAGAAGCATGTGGACAATTTCAACAGAAAGGAAGAAACCATGAAAATGAACCAAATCTGGCTGCCAGTTTTAAAAAAAAAACCTTCTAAAATCAGGACAGTAAATAAAGAGCAACACTCAAAACAGGGGAATTCCAGACAAGAAACAATCAGGGCCAGCTAATCCCTCCCAACAAAGGATTCCCACAGGCAGGAAGCAACTGGGCTTTGAAGCTGCAAGGCCATTCAGTGCTAATCAAGGTGGCCAATGGCAACATTCACACTTGCTTCAAACAAACAAGAGTTCTTTCTCTCACCCTCGACATCTTTCCACAGATATATAAACCCCACTTGCCTTGTTTCCATCAGACCTCACCACCTCTGAGGATGCCTTTAGCCATAGATGTAGGCGAAACATCAGGAGAGAATGCTTCTGGGACATGGCCAGACAGCCTGGAAAACTCACAGCAACCCAATTATTATCATTGCTGTTATTATTAAAATGTCAACTCCAATAGCAATACATTGTCAAATTCAATCAATCTATATAAATAAAAATGTAATGTTTGTTTGTGGGATTAACACAACGCAAAACCACTGGACAAATTGACACCAAATTTGGACACAATAACTTAACAGTCCAACGAGTGTCCATCCCCTCTAATAAAAAACAAAACACACACACACACACAAAACCCCAGCAGAACAGATTTAAAAACCTACAAAAATACACCATATATACATATACAAATACACTCATATACATATACACATGCACACATTCATACACACACATATATATGCACAAACACACATACATGTATATATGTATGTATACACATATACATACATATATACACATGCACACACAAATATACATATATACACATATATGCACATACATAAATACATATACACACATATACACATGCATACACTCATTCATACACACAAATATGCATATAGGCAAGCACACACATATACACAATATGCATGTACTCATATAAACACAGAAATACACAAATATATGCACACACACACATATATATGCTGGGGGAAATGGAAGGAAAAAGGAAGAGGGCCCGACCAAGAGCAAGATGGATGGATGGTATCCTTGAAGTGACTGGCTTGACCTTGAAGGAGCTGGGGGTGGTGACGGCCAACAGGGAGCTCTGGTGTGGACCGGTCCATGAAGTCACGAAGTCGGAAACGACTGAACGAATGAACAACAACAGCATGCACACACATATATACACCCATATATATATATATATGTATATATATACACACACACACACAAATACACGTATATACACACACACAAAACACATATGCACAGACTGGGCCACAGCAACACGTGGCAGGGGACGGCTAGTAATAATAATAACAATAAAATGTCAAGTACAATAGCAATAAAAGGCTCAATTGTCTTGTGTGTTTGTGTTTCTTTTATTCCTATAACTCTGCCTCCAAGGGCGCCTTTCTCTTCTCTTTCTCCCTTTGGTCCTAGGACTTCATCCCTTCGGTGGTCTTGGCTCCTCCTTGTTGCGGGATTTGTAGTTCTGCCTTGGTGCATCTTCTGCAGATCTCCTGTCCTCTGGAAGGCTCTCCGTTCCAGCGCCTCATCCACATCTTCGCTTGCGCCGGGAAAAGCTGCTGGGGGAAGTCGGAGAGGTAAGTGGATGTATCGACTGCATCTCCTTGCCATTTTCAGCACCAAGTACGAAGTATAAAGTAGAGTACGCTTATGTCCTTGTGGTGTGGACTCTGGAAACGATAAAACATGTATTCCTATATTGCACTTTCTATAGTGGCTTCCGGCATAGTTTTATCCACCCAATTCTGCAAAAGCATTCCTGGAAGAGTTTTACGCTCACGATTTGCTGGCAGAGCAGAATCTAATGGTTACTATCGGATTCTGATCCAGCTTTTGCGCCGCAGAGCTTGCTTGTTGGCAAAAAATGGCAATCATAGACTTAAGGGAATTTTTACCTGTTTTTAATGGTATTTATTTTTGTAAGATCTTGGGATTGATATTAATATTATTATTAGTTGCGCCCGTACCTTGGGAAGTCTGATCTGGCCACGGTGGTCCACGCTCTTGTTACATCCCGAATAGACTACTGCAACGCTCTCTACGTGGGGTTGCCCTTGAAGACTGTTCGGAAACTTCAACTAGTCCAGCGAGCGGCAGCCAGACTGCTCACTGGAGCGACATACAGGGAGCATACCACCCCTTTGCTGTGCCAGCTCCACTGGCTGCCGATTCAGTTCCGAGCACAATTCAAGGTGCTGGTTTTGACCTACAAAACCCTGTACGGTTCCGGTCCAGTGTATCTGTCCGAACGTATCTCCCTCTACGTCCCACCCCGGAGTTTGAGATCATCTGGGGAGGCCCTACTCTCGACCCCACCACTGTCTCAAGCGAGGCTGGTGGAGACGAGGAGCAGGGCTTTCTCAGTGGTAGCCCCTCACCTGTGGAACTCTCTCCCGGGGGAAATCAGGGCATCATCATCCCTCCTCGCCTTCAGGAGGAGGGTGAAGACGTGGTTATGGGACCAGGCCTTTGGGCACTCTGGCAATTAAATCAGACAATCAGGCGAGTAAGATCAACAGGATTGATGAAGTGGAACGTAAAACTAGATCCATGAGTTAGCGAACGCTGACCATGTAAGAGGAGAAAATGGGTTTGTATTGGTTTTATTGATTTTATGGTTATAATGCATGAATTGTCAACTGTGAATTGATGTAATTTTGTGTATGATTGTTTTTATGATGCAGGCATCAAATTGTGCCTTGCCTCTGTAAGCCGCCCTGAGTCCCCTTCGGGGTGAGAAGGGCGGGGTAAAAGAACCCCAAACAAACAAACAAACAAACAAACAAACAAACAAACAAATAAATAAATATAAAAATGCAATGTTCGTTTGTGGGATTAACAGAACTCAAAAACCACTGGACAAATTAGCACCAAATTTGGACACAAGACACCTAACAACCCAATGTATGTCCTTCACTCAATTTTTTTTGATTTTGTCATTTGGGAGTTGTAGTTACTGGGATTTATAGTTCGCTTACAAACAAAGAGCATTCTGAACTCCACCAGTGATGGAATTGAACCAAACTTGGCATACAGAAATCCCACGACCAACAGAAAATACTGGAAGGGTTTGGTAGGCATTGACCTTGGTTTTGGAGTTGTAGTTCACCTACATTCAGAGAGCACTGTTTACGCAAACAATGATGGATCTGGACCAAACTTGGCAAAAATATTCAATATGCCCAAATATGAACACAGCTGGAGTTTGGGGGATATAGACCTTGACATTTGGGAGTTGTACTTACTGGGATTTATAGTTCACCTACAATCAAAGAGCATTCTGAACTCCACCAATTATGACATTGAACCAAACGTGTCACACAGGACTCCCACAACTAACAGAAAACACTAGAAGGGTTTGGTGGGCATTGGCCTTGAGTTTGGGAGTTGTAGTTCACTTACATCCAGAGAGCACTGTGGACTCAAACAATGATGGATCTGGATCAAACTTGGCACAAATATTCCATATGCCCAAATATGAGCACAGATGGAGTTTGGGGAAATAGACCTTGACATTTGGGAGTTGTAGTTACTGGGATTTATAGTTCACCTACAATCAAAGAGCACTCTGAATCCCACAAACAACAGAATTGGGGCAAACTTCCCCAACAGAACCCTCATGACCAATAGAAAACACTTAAGGCCATCCAGTCCAACTCCCTTCATCAGGGCAAGAAAACATAACCAAAGCCCTCCAGACAAAGAGCCAGATATAGATAGATAGATATGATTCTCTCACACACACAGATATAGTATCATAGATTTGAAAGGGACCCCTAAAGAAGGACAATTACATGTTCCAGAGTAGGCAAACCAGACACTCTCCACATCAACACTGGCAAAGACACAGCAAGAAAGACTGTTTACCCACAAGCAGAAAGACATGACATATATTAGAAACCAACACTTTCTCGTTACTTTATTTTCCAGATCAACAGACGGGGCCACAGCAACGCCTGTCAGGGGACAGCTAGTACAATATATATTATTAGCATAGTACAACATCAGTACCATACACTACTATATTGCACTATTCCATTATATTGCAATATTAGTATTATTTTCCACAGCAACGCCTGGCAGGGGACGGCTAGTAATAATAATAATAATAATAATAATAATAATAATAATAATAATAATAATAATACTTTATTTATATCCTGCCCCATCTCCCCCAAGGGTCACGAAGCGGCTTACCGTAATGTGAAGAGTATAACATAAACAGGGAGGCCCCGGTGGTGCAGTGGGTTAAAGCGCTGAGCTGCTGAACTTGCTGATCAAAAGGTCACAGCTTCGAATCTAGGGAGTGGGGTGAGCTCCTGCTGTTAGCCCCACCTTCTGCCAACCTAGCAGTTTGAAAACATGCAAATATAATAATAATAATAATAATAATAATAATAATAATAATATTTATTTATTTATACCCCGCCACCATCTCCCCAATGGGGACTCAGAGCGGCTTACATGAGGCTGAGCCCAAACAGCAAATTACAATAAAATTGAAAACGCAAACAATAAACAACAACAACATAATTCCATAAAACATGTGAAAACATAGCAATATAGAATTACAATATGCACAATCACAATGACAGTGGGCGGATGTGAGTAGATCAATAGGTACCATTCAGGTGGGAAGGTAACGGCATTCCATGCAGTCATGCTGGCCACATGACTTTGGAGGTGTCTGTGGACAACGCTGGCTCTTCGGCTCAGGAATGGAGATGAGTACCAGAGTCGGACACGACTGGACTTAATAATAATAATAACTTAATGTCAGGGGAAAACTTTTGCCTTTACCTACAACATAAACAATAATAAAACAGATAAGCAATTTAAGCGAAATCAACAAAAGTAATGGACAAAATCAATAAAGGTGAACCAAAACATATTAAATTAACATGCATCATACATAAATAAGCAAGGATTGTATTGTATAAATCAGTTAGAATATCTCAGCCACTGCTCTGGTTGATGGAACCAGTGAAGTCCAGTTAAGAAATTTAATTCCATTTAAATCCCCAACGGTTGTGTATTTATTATGTTTAACCATTATTAAAAATCTGTTTATAAATATTATTTGATTATTTATAGGAGCCCCCGGTGGCGCAGTGGGTTAAACCCCTGCACCGGCAGGACTGAAGACTGACAGGTCGCAGGTTCGAATCCGGGGAGAGGTGGATGAGCTCCCTCTATCAGCTCCAGCTCCTCATGCGGGGACATGAGAGAACCCTCCCACAAGGATGATAAAACATCAAATCATCCAGGCATCCTCTGGGCAACGTCCTTGCAGACGGCCAATTCTCTCACACCAGAAGCGACTTGCAGTTTCTCAAGTTGCGCCTGACACGACCAAAAAATTTTTTTTTCATTGGTTCTACTTGTTTTGTCTGATCTGTTGACTGTAATAAATTTCATTCAAAGTAAAGCACAAAATTGGATCAAGCCATTAAAACAAAAACAAAGAAAGAGAGAAAGAGAACATACAATTGCAAACAAATGGTCCAATGGGTTGCTGTGAGTTTTCTGGGCTGTCTGGCCATGTTCCAGAAGCATTCTCTCCTGACGTTTTGCCCACATCTATGGCAGGCGTCCTCAGAGGTTGTGAGGTCTGTCAGTCTTCAGTCCTGCCAGCACGGGTTTGACCCACTGCACCACCGGGGGCTCCTATAATAATCATAATCATAATAATCATAATAATTCTTTGGAAATTGTGTGGCATTTTGAACTTTCTTTCACTGACTTTGCCTTGTACTACTTTCATGCTGCTTGTCTCTGTGGTCTGTCTGAAGCTGGAAAGTGCTACGATCCCAGTATTTGCAGGAAATTGTAGAGCAAGGATCCGAAGTAAACCAGGTATGATTTGGCTTGTCTAAGGCTTTGGGTCAACAATAGCACTGTGTTCGTGGAATGCGTTCTTGAGCGTGGGTTGATGGTGGTGGAGCAATTGTATGGTTTTTTTTCCAAACTGTAGTGTATGTCGTATCCTGCAAGTCACATCAAAATAAATATGAAAACATTGGAGGGTTGCTGGGAATTTTTAACTGGGAATTTTTAAAAATCTTGTTTGAATGTTTGCATATTTTAAATTGTATGCTGATGCTTGTATGTTAAGCCATTTTGCATCTCCTCTGGGAGGGAAAAAGCAGGGTATAAATAATAATAATAATAATAATAGTAATACACGATATGAGAAATTAAAGATTGAACTGCAAAGACTCTGGCACAAGGGGTCCCGGTGGTGATGGGCACACTGGGTGCAGTGCCTCAAGGCCTTGGCCTGCACTTAAAATAATAATAATAATAATAATAATAATAATAATAATATACCGAATTGCAAAGACTCTGGCACAAGCCAGTCATGGTGGTTGCACTGGTTATTGGCACTATGGGTGTAGTGCCTAAAGACCTTGGCCTGCACTTAAAATAATAATAATAATAATAATAATAATAATAATAATAATAATAATAATCCAGCATATAGATCTCGTTTGCTGTGACATACTGTGGTTTTGTGTCAGTAAAATATAATAACAGTAACAACAACAGAGTAAAATAATAAATAACCTTGACTCAAGTATAAGCGAAGGAGGACCCTTTCAGCCTAAAAAAAGGCTGAAAAACTAGGCTTATACTCAAGTATATACAGTAAATAATGAAGCAGGGGCCATATAATAATAAACAAACAAATAGGAAGTTCCTGGCTTTAATCTATTTTCTGTCTGTAACACAATTTTTGTTCCTTGGGGAGTGTCCAACATGTGATCCAATACAACAGCCAGCAGAGTGTCTGCTGTGGACTCATCTTGTTGTCTTTCAAAATAATAATAATAATAATAATAATAATAATAATAATAATAATAATAATACATTGCACAGTCCTCTATGCTTGGGAAGTGTTTGACTTATGATTTTGTGATACGAAATCAAGCATATATATCTCGTTTGCTGTGACATACTGTGTTTTTGTGTCAATAACAATAATAGTAGTAGTAGTATGTTTTGGGACTGTTTGGGTTTGATTCAAGAACTGTTCTGACCATTCGCATCTCCTCGGAGATTCCGTCTGAATAGGCATCAGCAGATAATGCAGACAGGAAATGGAGCGAGGATCTGATTCAGCATAAGCCAGACTCCTGTTTTCCTGTATCCTTAGAATCATAGAATCAAAGAGTTGGAAGAGACCTCCTGGGCCATCCAGTCCAACCCCATTCTGCCAAGAAGCAGGAATATTGCATTCAAATCACCCCTGACAGATGGCCATCCAGCCTCTGTTTAAAAGCTTCCAAAGAAGGAGCCTCCACCACAGAGAGTTCCACTGCTGAACGGCTCTCACAGTCAGGAAGTTCTTCCTCATGTTCAGATGGAATCTCCTCTCTTGTAGTTTGAAGCCATTGTTCCATTGCGTCCTAGTCTCCAGGGAAGCAGAAAACAAGCTTGCTCCCTCCTCCTCTGTGGCTTCCTCTCACATATTTATACATGGCTATCATATCCCCTCTCAGCCTTCTCTTCTTCAGGCTAAACATGCCCAGCTCCTTAAGCCGCTCCTCATAGGGCTTGTTCTCCAGACCCTTGATCATTTGAGTCGCCCTCCTCTGGACACATTCCAGCTTGTCAATATCTCTCTTGAATTGTGGTGCCCAGAATTGGACACAATATTCCAGGTAAAGTGGTCTAACCAAAGAGGAATAGAGCATGGGGAGCATGACTTCCTAGATCTAGACACTAGGCTCCTCTTGATGCAGGCCAAAATCCCATTGGCTTTTTTTGCCGCCACATCACATTGTTGGCTCATGTTTAACTTGTTGTCCACGAGGGCTCCAAGATCTTTTCGCATCACATTGTTGGCTCATGTTTGACTTGTTGTCCACGAGGACTCCAAGATCTTTTTCACACGTACTGCTCTCTTGTATTTGCAGAAGGAGGAATGTGCAGTCGCCGCCAGCGATTGGTGTGAAGGGGCCGACGACTGGGGAGAAGATGGCGACGGAATGGAACCCATTGCAAGACACAGTCCTGGCGGTGCACCAGAGGTTGGTTGCGCCATGCAGCTCCAAGGTCTCAGCCTGAGAGAGAGCCCCGTTCTCCACCCTGTGTCCCATGATGATAATAGTAATAACAATCACAGGGATGGGCCAAACGGGCCCCGCTCTGTCCCTGCCTTCCGGCCTTATTACATCAGCGTCGTGGACGAAGCAGACTACCTGGGATACCAGGATACGGACCATGCGCAGAAGCTCTTGCAGGAGTATCAGCGGAAGGAAGGCCTTGCTTTGGAGCAGCTAATGTCAGAAAGGTGAGACTCCAGTCCCAGGTTGCATCACTAAGGCATCTGTAGTTTGCTAGGAGCCTCCCTCCACATGTTTTGGACTCCAACTCCCACAATTTCCGTTCCTGTTTTGAAAGTTATTTCCTGTTTAATTGTGTGGCCCTTCCTTTGAAAGTGCCATAGTTGTTCTACTCCAGAAACTTTGTTTTTGTGGCTGCCGCAGAGAAAATGACCAGAGAAAATGATTGTGTTGGGTTGTTGTAGGTTTTTCCGGGCTATATGGCCATGTTCTGGAGGCAATTTTTCTCCTGGCGTTTTGCCTGCATCTATGGAAAGCATCCTCAGAGGTAGTGAGGTCTGTTGGAAGTAGGAAAAATGAGTTTATATATCTGTGGAATGACCAGGGTAATGTTTCAGCTGATCACCTTGATTTGCATTCAATGGCCTGGAAGCGCCTGGGGGGAATCTCTTGTTGAGAGTGATTTTATGTGCCTGTTTGTTTCCCCTCTGTTGTTTTGCTGTTGTGGTTTTTGAGTTTTTTAATACTGGTAGCCAGATTTTGTTGTTTGCGTTATTGAAGGTTTTCATGGTCGGAATCATTGCATTGCTGTGAGTTTTTCGGGCTGTATGGCTGTGTTCAAGCAGAATTCTCTCCTGACGTTTTGCCTGCATCTGTTGTTAATGGTATCTTCAGAGGTCCTGTTGCTAGTGAGGCAAGTGCAGATACTGTGACTGATTGACTTTGCAGCTGCAAGGCTACTCAATGCTAATCAAGCTTGCTATTTATTTATTTATTTAGGATATATATATATATATATATATATATATATATATATATATACACACACACACAATATATTATATTATTAGCATAGTACAATATCAGTATTATATATTACTATTTTTCACTATACCATTGATTGTAATATTATTAGTAATATTGCATGTAATATAAATATATAATTATAATATCATATTATTAGTAGTATATTGCATTACATTTTAATATTATAAACTAGCCGTCCCCTGCCACGCATTGCTGTGGCCCAGTCTGTGTATATGTGTTTTGTATGTATATATGTGTATATGTGTTGCAACCCAGATCAGGAAACAAGACCATAAGATTAAATCCACCACACTTGACTGTGGGAAAAACAATCCTTTTTTATTGATGAAAAAATGGTTACAAAATAGAGGAAAATGCAAAGTCAATGCAAAGTCAAAAAGCCACAGTAAAATTCAGCAGTCAGAAATATCTCTGAACTAGATCAAAATTCCAAAAGCAACACTATAAAAACCTGGAACCTGTTAGTATCTCACTAACCGTACTTGGAAACTAGAAGCCTCTGGGAATGCAAGCATGGGAAACGCGAACTCAGCCAAGGTAATGCCTCAGTCTAAACGATGCTGTAGCGACGATAAAGAAGACAGGCAGTCAGGAGGGTGATGGTGATCTCAAAGGTTTATTGACTAGCCAAG